TTTTGGGGGGTTGATCATTAAGGACTGGGGATTTTTTTAGGATAACAATTTAAGGGAATGGAACTAAGTAAAGGCAAAAATCCTAGGGGAAAAAACGGGTTTTCAGCTGTTTTCCCCCAACACTGGGAGATGAATTCACCTTTCAGCAGGCCCCAAACCAAAACAAGGCCAAATTCCGGGAGTTCTTACCAAGAAGACGAAAATGTCCTGAGGGGCCGATTAAGTTTTGACAAAATTGCTGGAAAATCTATGGCATGATTGAAAATCAACTTGACTTGATAAAACAATAAATTTACGAGTTGAAAATTTTTAAAAATAATAAGGGCAAATATTGTAAAATCCAGGGTGAAAGATTTTAGAATTCCCCAAAAGAACCAGTGTAACGCTCCAAAAGGTGATTTAAATGTATTGCTGGGGAGTGTAATTTTATTAAATAGATTTTTTCTGTATTTCATTTTCTTTTGCCTTTCTAAAAAATTTTTCCTTTGGCAATATGGGGTTTAGTGAGAGGGTTTGGGGAAAAAAAAAATATATTTAACCCATTTGAATTCATTTTTTGTAACACAACAAAAGGTGGAATAAGCGGGGGTATGGATATTTGAAGGCACTTTAAGTAACGAAAAAAAAATACTTTTATGTAGGGATTGGCTCAATTCCCCAAAAACTAAGGGGCAGTTTATTTGGGGATTCACAAGAGGGCTTCCGACTTCTCATTGGGCAAAACAAAACTAGAGATAAATTTTCCGTATCATTTTCCTGCCTCCTTCGGATGATAGAGTTTGGGACACTGTCTTTGGTTAAACCACAACAATGTTTTTGTAGAAGAGAATTTAATCAAATTCAATTAAAAAGTAGAGAATGCAACACAATTTGTTGCATAGACCCGAAAGAACCCAGATCAACTAGAATATTTTGCGGTGCAGTTGTAACCCCAGAGCAGCATGTCCTCTTATTTCCCCCTTTTTGTGCCTGGTACGTAAAAGTCTGTTTCCAGTCTGATCATATGACTAATCTATTTAGACCACGCTGAATGATGACACTGAGAAGGGTTTTGTCTCACACACACACAACACACAAACACAACACACACACACAAACACACACACACACAGACAACTACACACACACCCAGATCAAGAAAGTAGAATGACCTACGGACTATCAGGACAGCCTCCTTTCCGTCCTCTTCCCTTTTTCCCCCCCCCCTTATCTCTCTTTCCCCTCCCCTCCTTTTCCCCCTTCCCCCTTTGGCCCCCCCCCCCCCCCCAAAAAAAAAAAGGGGGGGGAAAAAAAAAAAATTTTTTGGGGGGGGGTTTTTCCAAAGGGGGGGGTTTTGGGGGGGGGAAAAGGGGGGGGGGGGGGGAAAGGGGGAAAAATGGGGAAAAAAAGGGGGGGAAAGAAAGGGGGGGAAAGGAGAAGAGGGAGAGGAGAGAGAGAGAGAGAGAAGGGGGGGAAGAGAGAGGGGAAAAGGGGGGGGAAAGAAAAGGAAAGAAAGAAAAAAGAAGGGAGGAGAGGGAGATCAGAGAGAGAACATGTGCATCAGAGCCCTAACCACTGTCTCTTCATAGCCTTGACTGAGAGAGAGAGAGAGAGTTGTTCTAGCATGTTCTGTTGTTGCTACGTGCTCGTTTATTTTGATTCATTGCTCAAATTACTTTTCTAGACGGGAAATGAAATAAAGTACAACACAGGTCCTATTGGCTCACAGATCATGGTAATAATCAATGTCTAGTTTGTTATCTAGTTTATTCTGTAGCTTGGCAGTGAGTGTACTCTACTCTACATGCCTTTCTGTATGGAGAGGAATCTTGTTAGAGGCTGCAGGATAGAGGAGTTTGGATACAGATTTTAGGGGTTTGAGGAGGCAGAAATAGCCCACTAGAGGGAGGAATATTCCTTAACTGATACAACAAGACCAGCACATCCATCCATGTACAGTTTGCTGATACCTTTTTCCATGTAATCAAATCAGTTATTAATCAAAATCATTATTAAGATAGAGAAATGAAAATCATCAACAGTTTTGATTACTAAAATGGCCACAGTGTAGGCATATTTAAATAAAGTATTGGATTGCAGTTCAATAACAGATACTTGTTTCCAAATACTTATGTTTTTCTACTATTCTGTATGATTTCTGAAGACTCTTACTACTATTGTTGCTTACTGCTGAAATTCTAAGGCGAATACTGGGTTTTTAGAGTTTTTATTGGCCCTTTTAGTTCCAGATGTATGTCTCCTTCCAGTGTCTAGAGAGCAGTATCTATTATATGGCCTCCCTTCATTTCCATTGTTCCGTCTCTCCATCCCTCCCTCTCTCTCTTTCCCCCATTCTGTTAATCCCAGGAGCCAGATGCCTTACGTTAATGCCAAAATCAGATGTGTCAACTGCCAAATGCGCCAATTGCCAAATGTTCTTGGGAACTTGGGCAGAAAAAGTTAACGTTGATCCACTGAGGCAAAAAGGGCAATGTTGGAGTTTAATTCAATAAGAGAAAAGCTGCGAAATGGAGAGATGAAAATAAATAGAAGGGAGGGCGGATGATAGCAGTGCCGGCTATGCTCTATGTGATGATTGTGAGGCGCTATACAAATTTGACAGTCACAAGGCGGGGACTTCAAATAGGCCTATGGCACGTCAAGGGAACTGTTCAGTTCAGATGAGTTAAATGGAATAGTAGCCTACCTGAAATTTGGACACTGACTGTAGGCCTATAACCTTTTACATAGCCTAATATAATATTAATTCCTGCAGAATTAAGCATTTCTTGCAGTAAAATTATAAACCAAATGTATATTTTGACTCTGGAACAGGAGTGGAGAAATATTATTTAATTATTTCAGCATCTTGAGGGAATGGATGCGTGGTTAGGGACCATCTGTAAAGGTGCAGTCTTTATCAGCAGCATAAAAGCTGATCGTATTGCATCCAAGCCGAACTGAAATCTTATCAAAAACATATTGGGTCGTTTTAACAGCTTTTAATTTCCTTAAAACCAGTCAAACTGATGTAATTTAGAAATTGTGTATGAAAAATCTTTCCAGTTATTTTTTTTTGTTATTGCATTTTCTCCTCGGTCCCTAAACATCTTTTTTGCGTGAGAGAAATAGGAAAGAGAAAACAAACTTTACCGATGACAACTAGATTGTAGCATTCATTCTATCAATGTATTACATTATTCTGGTGAGTTTGGCACAGCTGTGAAAGTTTAAAAGCCTACAGATGTTGTAATACACATGATTACACCCCCCCCACACACACACACACACAGGAGGATAATACTTCTAAATCCCACCTCACTGGATTGTAGAGATTCCACACATAAATCCTGTGTATTCTATTTCTCAGACTGACCATTTTTCCATGAAGCCTCTCTGTGGGATAACTTACGGCGTTCCCTGTTGAATCTGGAAGTCATTGTAAAATGTCAAGAATGAGAACATTCCAGGGTGAACACAAAATGCCTTTCCCATTCTGTTTGGTGAATTGAATATGGTCAATTCTACACAGTTTAGCGTGGAGCTGAGAGAAAATGTTTCAGTTTTAAAGGCCCAGAGCAGTCAAAATTCTGTTTTTCTTGTGTTTTATATCATATTGTACAACAGCTGATGAAACTAACACTGTAAAAGTGTGAAAACATTTGATCAATTGAGACTTGGATTGTGTAAATGTGCCATTCAGAGGTTGAATGGGCAAGACCTTTGACCTGGGTATGGTAGTAGGTGCCAGGCGCACCGGATTGTGTCAAGAACCGCAACGCTGTTGGGGTTTTTACGCTCAACAGTTTCCCGTGTGTTTCAAGAGTGGTCCACCACCCAAAGGACATCCAGCCAACTTGAAACAACTGTGGGAAGCATTGTAGTCAACATGAGCCAGCATCCCTGTGGAATGCTTTTGACACCTTGTAGAGTCCATGCCCCGACAAATTGAGGCTGTTCTGAGGGCAAAAGGGGTATATGTTTTATTGTCACATACATCTGAGATGTTACAGAACTGCTGTATTTGAAGCACTCTTCCCTTCTGCCCAGTTTCCCTGAGGTTGCTATGGCAACCAAGCTGTTTTTACCATCCCTGTAACTGCCGCTTCTGCGGAGAGATCGTTTTCTAAACTAAAACTCAAAGAACTAGGCCTACATAAGAAACAGGTTCTCGGTCTGATATGAGCTTTTGAAAACCTGAGTAAGCTCCACTCATTGCACTGGTGCCGTCGTAGCCTTGACCATGGCATTTGTTCACCGATATCGCATACTTCTTTTTTAGTTAAATGTTTTTCTTTTTCAAGACCTGATGCACTTTTTCAGTCACATTCCTGAAGCCCAGGAAACCAACACTTAGCTTCCTAGTATATATGGAAATTAAAAAGGTTTATGAATTACCTTTTGGAGGGTTACTGTCAAAATGATTTATTAAATAAATAAAAATAGACTGATGACGGTCGCATGAACCCCCAGAGCTCGTGCCCCCCCGTCTTGGGGGGCTGCGGGAGTGTCCAGTACGCCAATGAACGCAGAGACATAAAAATGTTGCAGCTAGCGATATTCATAAAATAATCCCAAAAAATATTTTTCCCAAAATAAAAAACATTTGCGGACCCCCTGCAGTACCGCCACAGATCCCAGTTTGGAAACCCCTGGTCTATGGTACTTTCCTTTAACTCTGGTGATGGTAAAATCTTTCCTGCCCTCTAGGGATGGTGTGGTCGGACGTGAAGCGTCTATGGTACGAAGGCTTGGAGGACTTCCTGGATGAGTCGAGGAATCAGCTGAGCTTCGTCATGAACTCTCTCTATCTGTCCACCTTCGCCCTCAAGATAGTGGCTCACAGCAAGGTGTGTGTGTGTGTGTCTGTGTGTGTCTGTGTGTGTGTGTGTGTGTGTGTGTGTGTGTGTGTGTGTGTGTGTGTGTGTGTGTGTGTGTGTGTGTGTGTGTGTGTGTGTGTGTGTGTGTGTGTGTGTGTGTCTGTGTGTGTGTGTGAGTGTCTGTGTGTGTGCGTGTGTGTGTTTGTGTACTAACGTGATCTCCTCTGTGCCAGTTTAAGAATGTGGAGGACACAGAGAGGAAAAACTGGGATGCCTTCCACCCCATCCTGGTGGCTGAGGGGCTGTTTGCCTTCGCTAACGTCCTGAGCTACCTTCGACTGTTCTTCATGTACACCACCAGCTCCATACTGGGCCCACTACAGGTACACGCACAAACTAACAGACACACACACACACACAGTACATTAGCTATCACTTCTGCTACTAGCAGCAGAAGGAGCACAATCACCAACATCATCATTCTATCATCACCTCACATGGAAACTATTTCCCTGGTGAACATCCCAATTAATAAAGATTCATTCTGCCATTGTTTCTCCTCCCCTCTCTCTCCTCCGTCCTCAACACTGGGCCAAAAGTCTGTTTTGAATATTCAGCTGGAGTTCCTGTAGTGCCATAGAATAGGTGTCTCTCTTTATTTCATTAGAGAAACCTTCAACCTCTTCCTCACTGTCTCAGCCTGCCAGCTAGGATCAAAGTCCCAGCTCTCTCCATTGTGTGTGTATTTCCTATTTTCCGTGGCCAGGAATCTCTTTTTCTCTATTCAATTTGGCTAGATTTACGGACATAAGGAAATATGGCAATTAATTATAATACAAGCATTTATGAATGAGTGATGAGGTCATTCTGCTCCAAGGACTATTTTCAATGTCTTGTTATTATGTGAAAGGGTTGTTTGTGATTTTGCTATCAAACAGCATGACTCTCCTGTGGATTGTCATGGGATAATACTTCTAATACCAAAAGGTGCAAAAAAGGGTTCTTCGGTTGTCCCTATAGGAGAACCCTTTGAAGAACCACCTTAGGTTCCAGGTAGAACCCTTTTCGGTTCCATGTAGAACCATTTCCTCAGAGGGTTCTACATGGAACCCAAAAGAGTTCTACCTGGAACCAAAAAGGGTTCTCCTATAGTGACAGTCGCAGAACCCTTTTGGAACCTTTTTTCTAAGAGTGTACCTTACTTCAGTCTCTCTCTCGCGCCGCGCGCGCGCGCGAGCGCGCGCGCGCGCGCGCCCGCGCGGGCGCGCGGCGGGGCCCCGGGCGCGACGAGCGAGAGAGGGAGCGAGCGAGCGCGAGAGAGAGCAGAGCGAGCGAGGAGGAGCGAGGCGAGCGAGAGAGAGCGAGCGGAAGCAGAGCGAGAGAGAGAGAGAGAGAGATAGCGAGCGAAGCGAGAGAGCGAGAGAAGAAGCGAGCGAGAGAGAGCTCAGAGAATAGAGCGAGAGAGAGAGCGATAGTCGCGACGAGCAAGAGAGAGATAGAGAGAGAGAGAGCGATGAGAGAGAGAGGACAGAGAGCTGATGCTAGCTCTCTCCTACTCTCTCTTCTCTCTCGCTCTCTCTCTCTCTTCTCTCTCTCTCTCTTCTCTCGCGCGCGCGCTCCGCTAACTCTATTCTCTACATGCACCCAAGCTGGAACTGTGACATCACTGTCTGGTCATGGGCGGATGGAAAAGTTATTAGCTTGGGAAATAGGTGGCTGTGTGTACCTACACACGCATGCTCACATGGCAGACACACCCCTCAATCATTGTCTGACACACATTTACATACATGTACACACACATGTCATGCAAACAACCACTTACATTAACATATGAGCTCACATTCTGTATGGACAAATACTTTGTCTCTCTTTCTCTCTCACACACACGCACACAGAGAGGCCAACTAACTCTTCTACAGAGGAAGTACCCCACACAGAGGCCCTCCTAGCTAGAAATTGTGTGTGTGTGTGTGTGAGAGAGAGAGAGAGAGAGAGAGAGAGAGAGAGAGAGAGAGAGAGAGAGAGAGAGAGAGAGAGAGAGAGAGAACTAGTTGGAACGGTACAGCTGAATCACCACTTTTTCAGAGTGAGGTCCCTCAGGGCCTGTGTCTAACTCTGATTACATTTCAGGAGGTTGTGTGTGTAGGTGTATGTAGGTGTGTGTGTGTGCAAGTGTAGGTGTGTTTGAAAGGTGTGTGTGTCCACCCCTCCCCTCCTGCGTCAGTACCCCCTAGCCATGCAGACCATGCTGAGACCAGGGAACACCCAAAGCTACTAAATCAGCCATCTACAAAGAGCCGCTAGGGAGGGACGGGGGAAGTAGAGGGACTGACCGGATCAGATGATAGGGGAAACACTGGGGAGATTCACATGTGACAAGATAATAAATCATACTAATGGAGGAGCTGCTCTCTCTCTTTCTCTTTCTGTCCCAAAACAACCTGGCGAATTGCACCTTGTGGTCATCCCTCTCAGCTCCTGTTGGCTCCTGGTTAAGGAATGAGTCTTCTCACTGACGTCCCTCTCACACTGGACCATCTGTGTGTATGTGGAACAGGGGTGTTTGGGATGGTTAGGCCTGGGTCAGGGAGCTACAGGTCTGCGTAAACAGATACACCACCAGCCATGCTCTCAGGGCTATATATAGAGACTTAAACCCTGCTCTCAGAACAGTTTCAATGTCCTTCAGCTTTGTCAATGTTTATCTGTGTGCTACCTCAACTCGCTAGGGTACCTGCTTGTCAAGGTTGTTTTTAACAGAACAGTTCTCTTCAGTAGGTGCTACAGAGAATAACTATTTGACCATGTTTATTTGCTCACTCTAAAGATAGACATCCTAATGAATGGGGTTGGCTTTCCAATGTAGCTCTTTTGGACATTGATTTACTAGGCATAAGTACACATTACTATCCCTGGACTTGTTTGCACCTGGGTGGTTGGTTGTGTGTTAGCTAGTCTGTTTTCATCCAGGGTTGTGTTCATTAGGAGTCACACACCGTAGCAAAAATGTTTTGCAACGGAAAACAAAAATGTGTGTTTTATTATTGGACAAGCTCAGTTAGTAGTTACCTCCCAGTCAGAAGATGGTAATATTAGCTCATGAGTGCTCTTGTGTTCCCAGATCTCCATGGGCCAGATGCTGCAGGAGTTTGGGAAGTTCCTGGGTCTGTTCCTGCTGGTGCTCATCTCCTTCACCATCGGCCTGACGCAGCTCTACGGGAAGGACCAGAAGGACCCGGCCAAGAGCCCCGCCAAAGACTGTGAGGGCATCTTCTGTCAGCAGCAGAGCAACGACGCCTTCCACACGTACGTACAGTCTACCTAAATTCTCTCTCTCTCCCCTTTCCCTATTTCACAGGTTCATGGGTACCTGTTCTGACTGTCAACCTCTGACCCATAGAGGTCCAATAATTCGCTGTTCTACTGTATATGTCATTCTATTTTCCATAACCTCCCTGTCGACAGGTTCATGGGTACTGTACCTGTTACTCCCTGTTCCGGCCTCTAACCTCTGACTTTCCTGTTGACAGGTTCATGGGGACGTGCTACGCGCTGTTCTGGTACATCTTCTCTCTGGCCCACGTGGCTCTCTTCGTGACCCGGATCAACTACACGGAGGAGCTGAGGTCGTTTGTGGGAGCCCTCATCGTGGGCACCTACAACATCGTGGTGGTCATCGTTCTCACCAAGCTGCTGGTTGCCATGCTGCACAAGAGCTTCAGGCAGATCGCTGTAAGTCAATCAAGCGATCAATCAATGTGGTCAATCCAATTTATTAAATTAAATCAATCCAATTTATTTATCAAACCTGTTTTGCATCAGCAGTTGTCACAAAGTGCTTTTCAGTAACCCGGCCTGAATTGACTGCACAGGCCAAGTTACAGAAAGTGACATTGTCCATCAAGTTACAATAACAACAAAAACAATAGGACTTGATTAGTCTAGCTATAACACTGTATCTAAGTGTTAATTTGGAGTGCTTTATTTTCGATTCAGTGTTTGAAGTTCAGGCAAAGATCAGCCGTATAATTCACATCAATTACTCAACTTTAATGCTTCTGTCACGGATTCACGGATTCAGCCGAGGCTGCCCCTCCTCCTTGCTCGGGCAGGCTTCGGCGTTCGTCATCCCCGGAGTACTAGCTGCTACCGATTTATGTTTCTGTGTTTGACTTGTTTGGTCTTTATTGTGTACACCTGTTTCCCATTATGTTGTATTGTCTTACCTATAGAACCCTCTGTCTTTCATTGTGTGTTGTGTGTGATTGTATTCGTCATCAGCAGTAGTTTGTGTGCGGGTTGTTTTCCTCCCTGTGAGGAGGTTGTTTATACTCTGGTTACTTTTGAGTAAAGTACGTTTCCAGTAAGCTCTGTGTCCTGCGTTTGACTTTGCCTACCGCTCTGACAGCTTCATAAATTACACTTACCCTTCATCAACTCTACAATCATCATTCTGAATGAAAAACACAAATATACTCCAAGAACACTTCAGACTAACACATGGTAGTGATTTCTTAACATTTCTCTGTCGATTAACACATTCCCCTATTTTCTCAGTGAATTCCTTAATCTCCCATTTAATTCAATTTCCCTCTAAATCCCCTAGAACCACGAGGATAAGGAGTGGAAGTTTGCCCGCGCCAAGCTGTGGCTGAGCTACTTTGACGACAAGTGTACCCTGCCGCCGCCCTTCAACATCCTACCCTCCCCCAAGACGGTGTGTTACCTTCTGACCAGTATGAGTAAATGGATCTGCTCCCACACCTCCACGGGGAAGGTCAAGAGACAGAACAGCCTCAAGGTAAGAGAGATGTGAAACAATCAAGAAGTGATACCTCTGTATACTTTAAAAATAATGACCGTTTCCCATCTTATCCTCCCATGATATCCAGAGAAGTAGGCACTGTATTCAGTCTCAAACCCTAAACTCCCATGTTGTTGTTGTCCCATCCATCCAGGAGTGGAGGAACCTGAAGCGGAAGCGTGATGAGAACTACCAGAAGATCATGTGTTGTCTGGTCCATCGCTACCTGACGTCCACCAGGCAGAAGATGCAGAGCACCGACCAGGCCACCGTGGAGAACCTCAACGACCTGCGGCAGGACCTCTCCAAGTTCCGCAACGAGATGAGAGACCTGCTGGGATTCAGAACCTCCAAGTACGCCATGTTCTACCCCCGGAGCTAAGACTGACCTGGTCTGAACCTCAACCCAACCATGTTCTAACCTTGGAGCTAGGACTGATCTGATCTCAACCTCCACCCAACCTCAACCAACCAGCTAAGACTGTTCTCAACCCCAACCACAACCCCAGCCACCCCTGTCAGCTTCGTCACCCAGGTGGTCCTATCTCTGACCCTAGCATGCTCAGAAATGACCTTGTGTCCAGTCACAGAGGAGAGACATTTAAACCTGGAACTCAACTGGAAATATATATATTCTGCACCAAAGTCTCCAGATTCATCCAGATCCCTTATGTAATAATATTCAGTCATCCTCCTTGTTTTCTAAAAATGTCTTCAACAAAGGACTTAATAAAATGTATTGGAAAATACAGACTGGTTGTGACTTTTTTGTCGTGGCATTGAGAAACGATTAGAGGATAAATATTGAGTTGCATCACATGCTCAGAAAAATACTTGAAACAGAAACCTATTTTCTCACTGAGAGATGGCACGAGGACGGAGCAAGTAGGTTTTAATAGTGAAATATCTGTGAGTGTTACTCACTGTTCAGAGCCAGCACATCCCTGGTCAAAACACACACACACACCTGACCATTCCCAGTGCTCAGTAGAGCGTTCACGACTGCCCTTCTAAAAGCTGCCTCCACACCTGGCCATAGTTACCACATACTCTATGTAGGCCAGATATAATGTTGTTATTTATGTTATTATATGCACTGTTTTTCTCCCCTGTTGGTAGTTACAGTCTTGTCCCATCGCTGCAACTCCCGTACAGACTTGGGAGAGGCGAAGGTCGAGAGCCATGCGTCCTCCAAAACACTACCCTGCCAAGCCGCACTGCTCGCTTAACCCGGAAGCCAGCCGCACCAATGTGTCGGAGGAAACACCGTCCAACTGGCGACTGTGTCAGCGTGCATGCGCCCGGCCCGCCACAGGAGTCGCTAGAGTGCAATGGAACAAGGCCATCCCGGCCGACCAAACCCTCCCCTAACCCGGACGACGCTGGGCCAATTGTGCGCCGCCTCATGGGTCTCCCAGTCACAGCCGGCTGCGACACAGACCGGGATCAAACCCGGATCTGAGGTGACGCCTCTAGCACTGAGATGCAGTGCCTTAGACCGCTGCACCACTCGGGAGGCCCTTATATGCACTCTTAACATATTACAACGTACTACTGATCTGTAAATTAATTAATGATGACACTCCATATAAAGAACCATCTCGTTACAATAAACGTCATTTTGTATTTTTTATTTGGTCAGATGAAAACAATAAAATATAAATAACATTTACCAATTGAATCCTATGAAAATACTTGATATTGTACTTAATTTCATATCGCTTTTTATTACAAACATTACATTTGAATGTAAGCTGACAAACCAAGCTGACATAATGATAAGGAGTGCTTTGTTGTATCCATTCATTGTAAAAGCTTTGGCTAATAAGTGACAGTACTAAACGTAATAACAGCATGACAACAAATCATTTCAAAAGGAATGCTATATATTAAACTATTGCACTTATCGACACCACATAAAATACCTCCCATATCTTGTCCATCCAATGTGAACATATGAAATAAAGAGCAGTTTGTAAACACTGTCCATAAAACTATAACACCCCGTCCTCAATAATGTACTTCCTCTAACAAACTCTTTCCTGTCTGATGTTTGATCCAAGCCAACACTCATCATGATATCCGGTTTGTGTTCAGTGGGCTTGAAACGTGAGAAAATGTTTTTGAAACAGAAAAGGTAAATGAGCGCTCTCATTGGACATATTTAGGTAGTATTTCGTTTCAAAACATCTTCTCCTGTTTCGTTCTAATTGAACGTGACCCAGGTGAGTTCCGCCCTACTATCTGTCTCTCTTTCTCTCCTCCCTCTCTTCAATTATCACACTCATTCTTCACATTGCACTCAAAACAGGTCCAGAAAAAACAGCATAGAAAAACAAAACGAAGGAAAGAGACAGCCAGACACCTCCAGACAATAACAGCCTGAGCTCTGTAGACTAGTCCTGTGGTGACGGATGAGAGGTAATGATGGGTGGAGCCAGGGCATGCTGGGCGGAGAGACTAACAAGAACAGCCACACCCTTGTGGGTGGGGCATGGTGGTTGGGTGGAGACTCAGGCAGCATGTAGCTGATCTCAGCAGCGTTTGGTTTTCAGTACGTTGAGGGCCCTCTGGTTCTTGGCCTTGAAGGCCATGACAAAGTGATGGGGGGCGATCTTCCCCTTCCCATCCTCGTCTGCTGAGCCCATGAAGATGTAGTTGAGGCCTAGTGAGATCACACAGAAAGAGCCTGAATGCAGTGGCGGAACGGCAGAGACATTCAGGAAGGTAGCACATCAGCATCAACTCCCCTCTGTGTTCCATATATGTTTATAGGCACATCTATAAACATATACAGTACTGGACAGTATGTTTGTATATATTCACAGTATGGATCAACGGCTGAGGGGGAAGGTATAGATCTGATTGCACAGTGAGTTTTGCCGCTTACCTCAGACCTTGGTCAAGCTCCTTTAGGTGAGATTGAAGATAGGCTACAGCAATGGAGGCAAACTCAGAGCCATACACCAAGTAGTATGTCGAACCACCTCTTTCTTATGTATCTTGTATATTTTGAACAATACCGCTGTTACAAGTGCTTACTCAGTGCCACACTTGAAACTGTGTAAGTATTACTCAAACATAGAATTTGAAATGAAAGAAAAACATTTGGTACAATCATGGACTAATACCTATGCTATAGTGTCATGGTGAATGTCTGAAACTAAAGCAAGAGAAACGGATGACTATATCCAGGGGAGAGTTAGCCTGAGTGCCAGTCTGTTTGTGCTATCATGCCAACTCCTTGTCACTCATTGTCATGCCAAACCACATTGTCTTGACAATGAGCAATGGAGTTGGCAAGAGCACAAACCGATCTGGGACCAGGCTAGGGGAGAGTGAGACCCAGAGTCCTTTGGCAGTGGTCCATTGTACTACTACTCACCTCGTCTGATGAACGGACACTTCTTGCAGAGGATGATGATCTTGGTGCTCATGGTCTTGCCGGCCTGCTGAATGGCCAGGTTGCCTTCTTTGTAGACGTTGATGATGGAGATGGTGGCGTACATGCTGCCTCCTCGCACCACCGCTGTGATGACAGTTCCTGTTATCACTGTCACAAAAAACACATAGGGAGTTTAGATGGCTGAACAACAAGCAGTCAACAACATCTACTTAGATTTGAAGTCTGACAACTGTGTCATCATTATGAAATGGTGGTGTATAACTTTCAACAGCCTGTAAGCTCTGTAAGTGCCTTGACCAAATATTGTATGATCGAGATCGAATATCTTTCGATACAAATACTCTGATGCTTGGCTTTCAAAATGTACTGGAGGAATATCTTTGAATAAGATAATCAGATCAATGTGTAAACAGGAAGGAAAGGCCGGATCAGTTGAGTCTTCTGTTAAGGTCCTTTTGTGTCTAGCCCAGTCATTAAAAACATGTGATGTAACACCCTTGGCTTGATATGACTGCAGACTGTCTGCCACTGTATTATACAATACATTTTTCCACTAACACCACATTACTGGGCTTCACTGACAGCCAGAGCCATTTTCTATACAAATCTGACCCAACCTCCCTGAGGAAAAGCAATTATTATAATACCTGCCTCATTCCATCAAAACATCACAGAGCTAGTCTAAATAACGGGGTAGCAAACTGAGGCCATGGAGTACATTGGCTGAATCAACACTTTCATTTAGCAACAGTTTACCTACAGTTAGGCTCTTCTCTGGCATGCGTGTTTACTCTATGAGAAGAAGAGAACTGTGTCTGTCCCATACACAAATTCACTGGGCTGCCCTGTCAGAAAACCCTCAAGGAAGCTTATGAGACACGATGAAACAACGCAGAAGGCCAAAGATAGTGTGCCATGACGGAGGGGACCATGACAACATGGGTTTGTTGCGGGAGGGACAGCTCATATGGACTGGGTTGACACTGTGGTAAATGTTGGAGGATTTTCTCTCACCCCCAACCCCCTGACTGAAACACACAGACACACACGGCACACACTGTTGACCTGTTGTTGTTTGTTGCTGTAGCTTAGTATCCGTGACGGCAGTAGGGGCGGCTTTAGGTGGGGCAGCCATAGTAATAGATGTAGCATTAGCTGTAGGAGAATAGTCTCTCTCTTACCGAAGTCACTGGTACAGTAGTTGCTCTCAACAGTTCCACTTCTTTTGCATTTCTGCTGGCACAGCGCTACAGAGTACTTCAGGGCTGGGGAGACACAGAGAAAAATAAAATATAGTTACTTAGTTCACATTCCATCTTACACATTCAATTGACGCTAGCGAGTAGGGTTTGGGTTGATTTTGTTTCACCTTGAGTCAATTCAGGGAATGAATTGAAATCAATCGTAGGCTAATAAATTAGTATGAACACTTCCCATTGAAAACTGTAGGCAACTTAGAATCCTACATAAGAGTTCACATCACACTTAAGGTATAGGGCTCTTTTTCGGCTGGCGTTAAGGCGGCGCAAGTGGTCTAAGGCTCTGCATCGCAGTGCTAGCTGTGCCACTAGAGATCCTGGTTCGAATCCAGGCTCTGTTGTAGCCGGCCGCGACAGGGAGACCCAAGGGGCGGCGCACAATTGGCCCAGCGTCGTCCAGGGTAGGGGAGGGAATGGCCGGCAGGGATGTAGCTCAGTTGGTAGAGCATGGCATTTGCAACGCCAGGGTTGTGGGTTCGATTCCAGTATAAAAAAAAAAAAAAAAAAAAAAAAAAAAATGTTTGCACTCACTAACTGTAAGTCGCTCTGGATAAGAGCGTCTGCTAAATGACTAAAATGTAAAAATGCAAGTGTCTAACGCACACTTCTTGGCAATTTAGACTTCTAAAAACCGGCGCTCTGCTATTTTCCAACCCTTGTGCCAGGGTTGGTCATTTACCTGTCTAACATCAGCTCACTTGCGCTGAGATGGGAGGGGTGAAACTATTTGAGGTGTGTCCTTAAAAACGAGCGCCAAACTGCCAATTTCGGTCAGAGCAACTGGAGATAAACTGGTCTTAGCAGTAACGCATGTTGGTTATGGCATTCATTTTGCCAGCGGAGGCTCACAGTAGCCTAATCAGTGGCATTTCATCAATGTTTTACTCAAATATCACCTTAACAGTTAACAGACGTTAACCTTTTTTCTGTATATTGGAATATATTTTCCAGCTTCTGTGAAAAGTTTGGACTCATTATGTGTGATACCCTTTGAATGAACGGTGTCAGTGACTGTGGGAAGCCTGTTTAGGAACATCAAGTTATTAAAAAAGACGTCTCAAGGCTGCTATGGTAGTGGTATAGGGAAAAGACTGTCCAACCACTATCCAAATATTATTCTTACTGGTGGAGAACAAAAAGCCTAAAAGATGTGGTCCTCTGTAGCTCAGCTGGTAGAGCACGGCGCTTGTAACGCCAAGGTAGTGGGTTCGATCCCCGGGACCACCCATACACAAAAATAAAATAAAAAAATTAATGTATGCACGCATGACTGTAAGTCGCTTTGGTTAAAAGCGTCTGCTAAATGGTATATATTTATTTTATAAGCCAATCAGAGGCAGTCATCAAAGGATCCTGATGACAGTGTGTGTGTGTGTGTGCCTTGCCAGAGAAAGTTGGTGGCCACAAACAACCATACATGTGTGACTTTAGGTTGTTCTGCATATTAGTTTGTCTGAATAAGAAGGAACAAGGTGTCTCTTTGGGGGGTCTACTCGCCTCCCTTCACCTTAGCTCTGACATAGTAGACAAATCACAGATTTAAAAAGACTAGAAAAGACAGGAAAATAATACACGGAAGTGATAAGTTAGAGTGGACTGATGTTTTGACTGGCATCTAACCTCGTCACCAACTGCTACAGAGACAGCCGGCTAGGGACGAGATTAACAGCCATCCAGCATTGGTGTCTGCTCCATTGCCTTTCATCCTGGGGGCAACAGCCACTACCACGATAGATCTGATCTGGGACCAGGCTAATGCAGATGCCTGGAAGCCACTCTCCTGGTGGGAGGGAGGGAGCTACAGCAGCTACACCACATGTTGGCATCAGCATCAAAGATCACTGGGACAAGGCAATCCATTCTGTCTCTAAATCCATAACTCCTAGTAGCAGATCAAATGGGCCAAACACACGTGTGGCCTGGAGATGATGATCATCATCATCATTTTGACAATGATGACGATGAATTGGATTCATATTGTGCTAAAAGCACTTTACATTGTAACAACAAGACTGAAGAGATGTGTCAAGACAAGGGAAGAGATACACATATGTTCTGCTTGGATTAAACAGAGAAAAAGGAGCTACCTACGTATGGGTCTGGTGGTGGCTGCTGGGATGGTGGTGGTCGGTGGTACCGTGGTGGTGGGGAACTTCTTGGGTCTAAACTTGTAGTGGCCAATGAACCCGTCTGCTGTTAAACTGAGGTCTGAGAGGAACTGGATCAGGAGCTGGTTACCTTCAGAGAATACTGGACTACACACACACAGAGAGAGAGACAGAGACAGAGACAGAGACAGAGACAGAGACAGAGACAGAGACAGAGAGAGAGAGAGAGAGAGAGAGAGAGAGAGAGAGAGAGAGAGAGAATGTTAGTATACCTGGTAAGTAGTTGATATATCGAATATGCTCATGGATATCTTGTGCTTAGGTAAAACAGTAAATCAGGCATTAGTAGGTTTATGATCAAGGTCATAAGCCAAGCGGTACATTAGCTAGATGAATGCAGAGTAGAAATAGGTGTGTGACGTACGCTGGAGGGCTATCGCCACAGAATTTCCCGATCCTCTTGGCATCATTAATCTCTGCCCCATTAAAAATGGCCACATAGTCATAGCGGCAGTAGTTGTCTCTTTCCACATCGAACTTCTCAAATTTCACCTCAATGATCTGTGTTGGTGGACAGGTTACATAGAACACAGGTCACACAGAACACAGGTTACATAGAACACAGGTTACAAAGAACACATGTTACATTGAACACATGTTACATTGAACACATTAGTTTCAGCCCACATTCTGAAGGTGCATTTCATTGTGCATCACTAACCAAGAGCAAACCACTTAGGCGATCTCAATCACTCTCAATTGTGTCAAGTTGAACTGTGAGTAAAGTAAGACCCTGTGGTTGTAGACTAACACTCACCTGGTTCTTAGGAGCCACTATGTGCCATGAGCAGGTGACCCCAGCGGGGTAGTCCTTCTCGGGCCAGTTAGGCGTCTTAAAGGACCCAGAGGGTTTATCCAGACGACCGCCACAGTACTGATCCCCTGGTGGGTGCAAAGTCAAACCCCAACATTTAGTTATACTACCCAGATAGTACTGCTTCACATGCTATTCATTTGAAGCACCACTGGACATCCTCCTGTGACTGTGTTTATGTGCAAGATATATATTTTCCATTTTAATGTTGAAGGACGGAATGTTGTGCACGTGCATGACATAATTCCATAATGGCACTAACATTTTTGAATGTAGGCTCTTATCTCATGCTTCCTTTATTATGAGTAACTAAAGAAGACATCTGTCTGTCTCTCTGCCTTGGTCCCCTGCTGCAACCACACAAGCTGCTTGGACTGGCAAGGGATCTGTGGATCTTTAAAAACCATGGCTGGATCTCCTGTAACATGTAGTTAGTCGCTACAGCTGAGCTCCCAGCCTCATGACTGGCAGACGGACAAGTCCAATTTGACTCTGTAACTAAAATAAACATATGGAGGAGTGCTGTGTGGTGCTTTTCAGTTTCAACCAGCCACTCCCAGGAACAGGGAGAGATGGAGAAACCAGTCTATCTGCTCTAGCATCTGGTGTGTGAAGAACACCAGTCTATCTAAACTTACAGACCCAGCGGCATTCTAGCTTTCAGCTACTGTAGAGGTACGGTGACAGAGAGAAGGTACAGTGAGGGAAAATAGTATTTGATCCCCTGCTGATTTTGTATGTTTGCCCACTGACAAAGACATGATCAGTCTATCATTTTAATGGTAGGTTTATTTGAACAGTGAGAGACAGAATAACAACAAAAAAATCCAGAAAAACGCATGTCAAAAATGTTATAAATTGATTGGCATTTTAATTAGGGAAATAAGTATTTGACCCCCTCTCAATCAGAAAGATTTCTGGCTCCCAGGTGTCTTTTATACAGGTAATAAGCTGAGATTAGGAGCACACTCTTAAAGGGAGTGCTCCTCAACTCAGCTTGTTACCTGTATAAAAGACACCTGTCCACAGAAGCAATCAATCAATCAGATTCCAAACTCTCCACCATGGCCAAGACCAAAGAGCTCTCCAAGGATGTCAGGGACAAGATTGTAGACCTACACAAGGCTGGAATGGGCTACAAGACCATCACCAAGCAGCTTGGTGAGAAGGTGACAACAGTTGGTGCGATTATTCGCAAATGGAAGAAACACAAAATAACTGTCAATCTCCCTCGGCCTGGGGCTCCATGCAAGATCTCACCTCGTGGAGTTGCAATGATCATGAGAACGGTGAGGAATCAGCCCAGAACTACACGGGAGGATCTTGTCAATGATCTCAAGGCAGCTGGGACCATAGTCACCAAGAAAACAATTGGTAACACACTACGCCGTGAAGGACTGAAATCCTGCAGCGCCCGCAAGGTCCCCCTGCTCAAGAAAGCATAGTCTGAAGTTTGCCAATGAACATCTGAATGATTCAGAGGAGAACTGGGTGAAAGTGTTGTGGTCAGATGAGACCAAAATCGAGCTCTTTGGCATCAACTCAACTCGCCGTGTTTGGAGGAGGAGGAATGCTGCCTATGACCCCAAGAACACCATCCCCACCGACAAACATGGAGGTGGAAACATTATGCTTTGGGGGTGTTTTTCTGCTAAGGGGACAGGACAACTTCACCGCATCAAAGGGACGATGGACGGGGCCATGTACCATCAAATCTTGGGTGAGAACCTCCTTCCCTCAGCCAGGGCATTGAAAATGGGTTGTGGATGGGTATTCCAGCATGACAATGACCCAAAACACACAGCCAAGGCAACAAAGGAGTGGCTCAAGAAGAAGCACATTAAGGTCCTGGAGTGGCCTAGCCAGTCGCCAGACCTTAATCCCATAGAATATCTGTGGAGGGAGCTGAAGGTTTGAGTTGCCAAACGTCAGCCTCGAAACCTTAATGAATTGGAGAAGTTCTACAAAGAGGAGTGGGACAAAATCCCTCCTGAGATGTGTGCAAACCTGGTGGCCAACTACAAGAAACGTCTGACCTCTGTGATTGCCAACAAGGGTTTTGCCACCAAGTACTAAGTCATGTTTTGCAGAGGGGTCAAATACTTATTTCATTAAAATGCAAATCAATTTAAAACATTTTTGACATGCGTTTTTCTGGATTTTTTTGTTGTTATTCTGTCTCTCACTGTTCAAATAAACCTACCATTAAAATTACAGACTGATCATGTCTTTGTCAGTGGGCAAACGTACAAAATCAGCAGGGGATCAAATACTTTTTTCCCCTCACTGTATATAGGGAGGCACCAGACCAAAAAAATTCCACTAACTCATTCGGGGAAAAGTAACGTCACCGGGTCAGAAGAGGAAGGGACGGCTTAACGCTGACCTGTCTGGCCCTAGAGCGCTCCATCCAGAAAACGAGCCGTGAAGAATTCCTCGTCATGCTGTGAAATGTGTAGAGATTCACCTCCTCGAGCAAGCTTTAAGTCAACAGGTCTCGTCTTAACTGCGCAAGAGGTCTGAACTGAAAGAGCAGTGGTACTTTATCTTACCAAGCAGAAGTCAAACGTTTCCTTGACCTGCTACCCGTTGGGAGTCATTTATTTAGCTAGAACTGCCTTTTAGTCTCAGATGTAAATAATTGCCCTCTCAGATCTCTTCATCTGGGTATTAGTATTATTACAGTGACACGATGCAATGACCTTGCTGGGGCAGCTAGCGATTAAGAGGCTTGTTAATTAGCTCGTTAAAGTGTGACCCTTGGCCCTAAACACGCACACACATTTCTGATGTCTTTACAATGTGGAGTCAGAGCAGAGTCATGGCTAGGGCTCAGTCCCTAATGCTCTGTTGAACATGCTTGGGTAGAGGCTGGATAATGATGACTGAAATGTTCCCTACATAACTACATCCAGGGGTACAACAACTTAGAGATGACACAACCCCTCTTCAACCCACACAGTGGTTCGTGGCCCGGCAGGTAGCCTAGAGGTTAGAGAGGCAGGCCTGCAACCGGCGGGTAACCGGTTTGACTCTCAAGTTCAACAGAAAAAATCTAGTAGAATCCTAGATCATAGATGCCATCGCCTGCCACTGTGCCATTGAGCAAGGCACGTAACCCTTAAAAACTGCTACATTCTTCTTCTATTCTTCTTCTGCTTACCTCTCTCATGCGGCTGGCCAGAAGAGTACACTGCCAGGAAGCCACTCCCGGCCGTGTTGGCATCAGACACCATCTGAATGAGCATCTTGTTGCCGGTGGAGACCAGGGCACCTGGCCTGAATGTCCCACAGAAGCGGCCCAGCCTCTGACCACTCACATGGCCACTGTAAACATCCACGTAGTCATAGCGACACAGGTTGTCACTCTCCAGGTCAATGAAGCGGAAGGACAGGACCACCACTTTACCCTCAGGGACCTGGGGACAACATTCAATCATATACAATATACAGTTCAATCTATACAATCACATAAGGGGCATATGTGACAACTCATGTAAGAGGAAACAAATCTTCCTCTGATATGGAATGAAATAAATGAATGAAACTATATGAAACTCATTCCCCTCTTTTCAAATCAACATCACCATCTTCAATTAACAGTACAAGTCAAAGCATTCCAAGTCTAAATCTAGCAATGATACATATATTATTAACAAGTAACAAACATACAGGACTTCACTGTTGGTGATTATTTCCTTGACTTACCTTTAATTCGTTGCAGCCATGTGACCATGTTGTGTGTTAATAAAAATGCCAAGCAGGCAGCTCAAAGTGCCTGAGGGGTGCTGTGTGGCCAGTAGTCAAATACCAGACTACCAATTAGGCCTACACAGTTAGGGTTGGTGAATTAGTATCTCATTGCAGTTTATTACAGAAACATTGCGTCATTTCAGTTCTCTGATATGGGTGTTGTTAACTGTTAAACATGGATCATGTATTTACAGTAGGCTACAAGTATGTTTGACTCACCGTGATTCTCCAAACACATTTGGTATTTGGGGGGTACACCCCTGGATACCCCGGGCTACCAATGACCCCAGAATCCCCCGTTATATTCCCTCCGCATGTAAACGTTGGTCTGGAAACATCGAGAAAAAATATTTTAGACACTTCTCATTCTAACACAAATATGTAACCTGTGCTATCATGGAATCTGGAAAGGAGCAGAAGCCTTGGCGTTAATGGTTGGTGTTCATTCTTGGGTTGTCTCGGCAATGCGCCAATGTGCGTCCTCATGCTTACAGCGCAGACTGCAGATTCCACCAAAATAACAACTCCTCAGTTATTATGAACAATTGAACATCATTGATGCAGTTCCTTCATTCATTGTGCCGTAGGCTAACGGATCCTTGGCACTTCATGATAAGGCTTTGTAGGCTATTGTACACACGTGTTTATTCTAACAAATAGCCTAACGCAGAGCCAAAAATAATCGATTGTTAAATAAAAGTGAAGAGGTACCTCCGTTGTGACTGCGCGCAGACTTCTGTCAAAAACAGTACACTCCATGCGCAAAAAATACTGCATATTCTCAACATTGTCGGGTGAACTGACCAGGCACCACTTCGCCTGTTTTCGACCCGTGGCATGAAGGACATTGTATTCAGTCGCTCGAGCGGTGGGGAAAAGTACCCAGAAGTTCCTGGAGGGAGTTTCGCAGGCTGCAAGCTGTAGCACGGAGATGAATATAGCGTTTGTTCTGCGTGGTAGGAGGGAGCAGTCGACAGGCAGCTGCCTTTTTCCAAAACCTGGGATCAAAGACGCATTATAAATATTGGGGTGGAGGGAGTATGGGGGGAGTGGGGGACTCTTGCTTTAGTCTATTACCACACCTGGCAAAACCTACCTTGGGTAAAATAATGTGAATATCCTTTGTGAAAGATTTATTCAAGGCACAGAGTTCAGGTGATCATAAGGAATATATGGTCATATGTACAAACTGTATGCACTTTGCACATAGGCTGTTTGTATGTGCTCTTCAGAATAAAATACATTTTAAAAACAAGTGAATAGCCTAATGAATAAATAAATGCAAAATAGGCCTAAACGACAAAAATAGACTATTACAGTACATTCATATATATTACAATATTTACAGTACAGATTCCAGAATGTGCCCTTATGCACTAATATGTGCTATGTGCTATCTATTAGCCTACTTACACCTAGTGACTGACTGACAGACAGACAGACAGACAGACAGACAGAGACACACACACACACACACACAGATGGCGCCGCTATGGACGGCACTCGTCTTGCCGGTTCCTGCTTAAACTTTCCTTTTTTATGGATCTTTTTGCGTTAATTATTACTTTGTTTGCTTTTCTAAAATGTTTATCTTATTATACTGAGCCATTTACTTTATGTTCGTATTCTTATCCTTTAATAGTTCTTATTGGTATTGCATTGTCGAGAAGGAACCTGCAGGTAAACATTTCGTTGGACGATGTATACCATACGTATCCAGTATACGACTAATAAAAATATTGAAACACACGTAATGAGACAGATCACACAGAGAGTAGGCTATAAATGGCACCATCTAGTGGACCAAATTAAGCATCGCTTTTCAAATAAATGTTTTCAGGTTGTCTAATTCTGAATATGTAATATTGGCTTGAAAAATCCGATTAAAAGCCATACATCTACAGGTCATCAATAGTACAAAAAAAAAATTACGAATGGGATTTACAGTAGGTTGTTGTAGTTATTTTTATCCATACATTTATTATTACACGGACACCATTGAAGCATAATGGGTTTATGTTTTCTTTGTAAATAAAACGTATCGATAGGCATCCATATTTCTGTATTCGACTATTTTGAAGTAGGTGAAAAAAACGTATCCAACAATCGGTAATCGATTAGAGTTAGCACAACCAAAATGGCGGACAGAACGCCTGGTGGTTCGCAGAAAGACAGCGCAAAGGTGAATTTATTAAATCGATATTTACTTGATGCATTGGCTATTAAATGCTATAAGAACTGTTTGTTGTAGTTATAAACGTTGTGGTTATGAACGTTGTACAGCTGTTGCCATATATGTTCCCATTTATAAGGACAAACTACGAACAGACCACGTAGCTAACGCTAGCTAAAGGCCCGAATCACCGGTATTTTTCCTGTTCCAAACATTGCACTGATTTCGCAATGTGTTTGCATAGTTAGCTAATCTAGCAGCTAGATACTGGTAACTGCGATGGCAATTGTTTACATAACTAACTAGTATGTTTGAGTTGATGTGTGATTTTGGTTGTCGCAACGTGGAGTATAAATAGTCGCTACTAGCAAGCTACGGTTAGCAAACTCCACCCTGCACGAGTCCTTTGGCTTTGCCGCCTTGTGAAGTAGTGGTGAAAAACAGTCGGACCCACCGTAGGCTTACTGACTGCTAGCTAGGTAGCCAACTATCTCACTGCTAACAGCTACTGGCAAACTAATATCCAATTCAACAACACATCATTAATTAGCAATAGTTCACTATAGGCTAGCTAACTCACTATTGCAACAAGCTGTCGCCGCTACTCCAGTGTGTATTAATTAGTGAAATTCCTTTGCAAAACCGTTGGTATGTTGCAAAACGTTTTGAAATGGAAACCGTTTACTCAAGAACCAAACGGAAGCAAACAAAGCATACGAAACGGGCGGGACCTACCTGTATTTGTCCAATAGAAACGGTCGTTTTCGTTGCAAAACATTTTCGGTTTGGAGTTTTGCAACGGAATTCGACTAATGAATATAGCCCAATTACATTAGCTAGCTAACTTGGCTGCATTACAGCTTTGCCTGACGGGTCAGGTGGTCAAGTGTGCTAGTAAAACTAATGCATTTATTAATGAGATCGCGCTAGCAACCTCAAGGGAAATACACAAGTTATCTTTTTTTTTTTTAAATATTGTAACTAACTAGCTACTGTGACATGAGTGTATTTAAGTTTTGTTTTGTTTACATTTGTAGGCGCTGCTGGAGAGCAAGTTGAAGTCCTTCAGTATTGGCAAAATGGCCGTGAGTAAGAGGACCCTAAGCAAGAAGGAACAAGAGGATATCAAAAAGAAGGTAAGACTAAATATAAGCATATTTCAAGTTCCACTACAGTGGCAAATGCACCTTACATTTACATTTTAGTCATTTAGCAGACGCTCTTATCCAGAGCGACTTACAGGAGCAATTAGGGTTAAGTGCCTTGCTCAAGGGCACATCGACAGATTCTTCACCTAGTCGGCTCGGGGATTAGAACCAGCGACCTTTCGGTTACTGGCACAACGCTCTTAACCACTAAGCTACCTGCCGCCCCACCACCTTGCCTTTGATATGAACGTCGTGCTCATTAGGGCACGCAGTAACAAAATGTTTTGCAAAGGAAAATAAAATTAGTTTTTTATTCCTATTTTAATTTTTTTGTTGTCTAATAAACATGACCCTGATGTTGTGTCATGGGCTATGAGAGATGATGATGGTCTGGTCCTTGGCAGGAGGATGAGCGGGCAGCTGCAGAGATCTATGAAGAGTTCCTGGCCGCGTTCGAGGGAGGGGAGGGCAAGGTCAAGGCCTTCGTCCGGGGGGGCATTGCTAATGCAACGAAAGGTACATAGAACCATCTCAACCTTCATAAACTGCACAATATTATCTGGGATATGTTTAGCTAAATATTACATGTTTAGATATGTTGTGTAGTAGGGTTGGGCAGTCAAATGACCAATTTCCGTCCGTTGTCTCTGTGTATGGATAAATACAGTTGTAATCTATTGTATTGTACATTCTAGTAAGAAACTACACTAACTTGTGTTTATGTACTGTATGTTTCTTCCTACAGAGGAGGCTGCTTCTGATGACAAGAAGGGAAAGCTGTATAAACCCAAGTCACGCTTCGAAACAGCAGCAGCACCGAAAAGCAACTTCCTGCCTTTGGAAACCCCTCCACAGTTTTTAACATTAGATAAAAGACATGTATGTATCATCGTAATCAACATTTATTTTACTGTTGTTAAACTAACCAAATAGCTAGTCCTTTTACCGGCCTCTACAAAAATTAATACTTGTTTTGTTGTTTATCTTCCTTTCAGACACTTAAGAAAGCAAATGAAAAGGAAAAGAAGAAGAGTAACCTAGAGCTCTTCAAGGAAGAACTTAAACAGTAAGCAATTTCACATCCCTCACCTTTTGCTCCATGTACTCAACCTGGACTCAGGGGTAGACGTAACATAGTAAATAGAAATCCGAGACACTCAGAATAGTATGATATCTTACAAATTACAAATGTATGATATGTTACGAATTGCAAAACGTATGATATGTTACCAATTCCAATTTGTTGTGGCTAATGTTAGTTAGGTGGCAACGTGGCTAATGCTAACATTTGTTGTGTTAGGGTTAAGGTTAGGGGAAGGGTTAGCTAACATGCTAAGTAGTTGCAAAGTTGCTAAAGTTGCCGGTGATGGTATTCGAACACACAACCTTTGGGTTGCTAGACATTCTCGTTATACGCCCACCCATCCACTTTTGCCTTAAGCAGCCTTCTGTCTTATGTAACCATACCAAACATAACATATCATACTCATTTGAGTGTCCCGGATTTACATGTACTATGTTACGTCTAGTCTGAGACCAGGCTGATGTACTTAGCATTGCACTGGATTGCATAATCTAATATTCTCTGTCTCTCCCAGAATACAGGAAGAGAGGGATGAAAGACACAAGATGAAAGGCAGAGTCAGTCGATTCGAACCTCTCTCTGGGATGGAGGGAAAACGCTCCTCATGTAAGTGTCTGCCAGGGTTCGCACAAGGTGCTTGAGGCGCTTAAAGTACTTGAATTTGGCACTCTGAAATTCAAGTACTGGTATACCTTGAAAATCAGACATTTTCTGAAGTTGGTACTTGAATTAAAATGAGTAGGGAACATGATCAAATATGTTTATGAAAAATGTATTGGTCTTGCAAATTAATTTCCAGGCAGACTACCAAGTTTTATTTCCTCACGTGTTTCGCGCTGTGGTTGCCAGGCGAGCTCGCTCATTCTACCCACACTCCCACTCAGCCAGGCAGGTACAGAACTGACTGATTAAGTGCGAATGGACACATTTTGGGATCTTTTATTTCAGCTCATGAAACATGGGACCAACAGTTTACATGTTACATTTTATATTATTGTTCAGTATAGTTTACTCACTTTTTTTTACCACTACATCGCTGGACCCAACCAACCCATACTGTGTAAGGTGCAAAAAATGCGACTTTCACATTGCGAGCATGGGTGAATCAGCCCTGAAGAGACCCATGAAGGGGGAAAGACACAACGCTGCATCCTGCGCTGGCGCCAGTTCTACATTGTCACTTTTCTTCTACAACAACCTCCAGAGCTTTTTGCCAATCGCCTCATTCACGGGCGCCTGCAATATTCTGCTTTATCAAGCGGCAGCCGTGCTCCTGCCATTCTGGTTGCAGTTCACGTGCCGTTTTCCTCACACAGCCCACCCGCCCTTCTCCCGACCGTCGACACTAAAGCTGCCAGTCAGAAGCAAGACACTTTTTCGTAGCTATTAAGTAGTCTATTCCCAAATGCCCAATAAAAACAGTAATTAAGCTGGAGTTGTATAGTAATGCGAATAGGAAATGTGTGTTCACCAGTAGGCATGTCTCAACTTTGCTCATCACTACTCAAATTACAAAATCATCATTACTGACTTACGACTCATTTATGTAGTAAATAAGTAGCGAAACAACTTATTATTGAGTAGAACTTGTAAGGTACTGATGAATACTACGTTTTTTTTTTTTTTTCTCATGAGGTTGTGATGATATACTGCCACCTGGTGGCAACTAGAAACAATGGCATAAGAACTATTACAAATTGATGGTCCTTCAAAATAAATAATATTGAAAAAGTCCTTGAAAGTCCTTGAATCTGACTTGCCACTGTCTGTAGGAACCCAGGTCTGCTCTATAACTACTGACAGGGCAAGGCTAGCCTGGAATCCAAACTCATTTGCTCTGTTTCAATGGTCAAACAGAGCATATCAGTTAAGATTTCAGGCCAGGAAACCGTTAAGACCAACTAAAATACATGAAGACCCGTTGGCTCTTGGACATGCCTCCTTCCTACAGCTCTCATACTGACTGCTTCAAACCTCTACCCACTCCATTTCCTTTGCCTGGAAACAACATTTATATACTGCTTTTCTGCTTTTTTTAGTGGATGGTTCTTCAAGAAGAAACCGTCCGTCCAGTGGTAATTTGATAAATTTATACAGTGGCTTGCTTTTAATATCTAACATCTCACTAAGATTATATATTCTATAAAAGGCTTCTCCACTCTGCTCTCTCTGCAGTTCTGGATGACGCTGCACCTGGTTCCCATGACGTCGGAGACCCCTCTACAACTAACTTATATCTCGGAAACATCAACCCACAGGTAAACCTTTTTATGGTTCATAAATGGCTCATTAATGTTTTATATGCTTATTTATGCAATATGTTACATGCCTAATTGCCTATATTAGTAACTGAAATCCTACTAATATATTGCATTACAATGTAAAATGACACCAATAACAACAAGTCCACATGCCCCTCTCCCTCGGCCTCTGTTGTTGCTGTGTAGATGAACGAGGAGATGCTGTGTCAGGAGTTTGGGCGCTATGGTCCTCTGGCCAGCGTGAAGATCATGTGGCCGCGGACAGACGAGGAGAGGGCCAGGGAGAGGAACTGTGGCTTTGTGGCCTTCATGAACCGGAGGGATGCGGAGAGAGCTCTGAAGAACCTCAACGGTATTAAAGCCTTAGTTATCATCACACCACTGACCCAGCACAATGCAACTTTACTCACATTGCATCAAATAACGTTTTAATGTCAAAAGATTTGAGTGTTTTTTGTCTAGCTGTTCTGCTGCCTGGTCTTTCCTTTTGCTCTGTCTGTGGGACATGGGACTTGTAGAGTTCACCAGCAGGTATCACATGTATATGTAATGAAAGGGACTGCTTATTCATCAGCAATGTATTTAGCAACACAAACTGGTTATAATGGTTATAGACGGCCAAACAGGACGTCAATGTTTTATTTTATTTGCAACATCAACATGACGTATTGGCATTCTTAGTGTATTCAAAATAGCAACTGATACAGTATAATTGGTAGTACGTTTTTTAAAGAGTGTTTCTTCACTGTTTCCAGCGAAGATGATCATGAACTTTGAGATGAAGCTGGGCTGGGGTAAAGGCGTGCCCATCCCACCTCACCCCATCTACATCCCCCCATCTATGGTGGAGCACACCCTCCCCCCGCCCCCCTCCGGCCTGCCCTTCAACGCACAGCCCTGCGAGAGGCTGAAGAACCCCAATGCCGCCCTGCTCCCTCCGCCCAAGAACAAGGAGGAATTCGACAAGGTAACTCACCATGTCATGTTTGGGATGTTGCTGTATTAGGCCTGTCAGTTGTACCAGTCTTTTAATGTGTATTTGTTAGGCATAGTCCTAGTTAGGCTATTGGTCATGTAGTGAAGATTTTGCTAATATCTTCTGCTAGTCATGGGTTTATTCCTTTAAAAAATTTCTACATTTTATTGACCAAACTAGGCTAGATTTATCATTTTGAGAGGTGTGTTTAGTGTATATAAAGAAATAAAGAATCAATGGTAAGTTGTGTGGGAATTTAAGAACTGTATACATTTGACCTTTAGTAAAACTGACAGCAGTAGAGGAAAGTAGTTTTTCATATGATGCAGTTTTTAATGCATTTAATATTTTTCACCTGTTGCCTTTTAACAATACTCACATATTCTATGTTTATTATCTGATGTGACTTCATATACAGACTCTGTCGCAAGCCATAGTCAAAGTGGTTATCCCAACAGAAAGGTACATGTTTTTCTTTTTTAAATTGGTGTAAAACGTAGAAAAACATCCCATAATAAATAAACCCAAATTTCAAGTTTGATCAATTGAATCACTGCATGCTACGGGGGGTCGTTCAGTATGGGTGAGCAATGGTTGAGACTAGCAGACGTAGGCTTATAACCCCATCAGGTTCATGTTAGTAGACTACAAGATACTCACTCCCACAGCCCAGCTTTCTGCCACCACACAGTGTCCATATGTTCTTCCTTTCACACATTCATCCAACACTCCCGCCAAACAGCAATACAGTCCATGGACCACCATGCCATTACTTGTCTGACGGTATAGAGGTCATCAAAGGAATTTTTACCACCATATCACCACTTGTCAGTAGTCACATGTAGGCTAATTATATCCATGTTATGATGCTAGCTACATAATACTGTCACATGCCATACATACCATGCTGGCTGTGGTTAGGTTGTTTAGACTGAGTGACAGGTCTTGCCCTCTGACTATTGCTCACTCCCACCGACACGCCCCCTTGGCCTCTGTCACCCAGTCACGGGCTCAGCAACACCTGGCCCCAGTTCTCCAATCCAAACCTCCCATTAGTCTCAGTGACCTTTGACATTGGCCTTGGTGAGCAGCACAAGTTGAACTGTCTGCGGCAGCGAGGGACCTGAAAGCATCATGGGATGGATTGGGAAAGTATACAGCATTTTACCCACCATGCATTGGTACGATCGGCTCCAATACTATATGGTAAATGTGATTTGCGTTGTCTACAAATAAATGAAAGACATCCTTTGTTGTTTTGTTGGCCACTTTAGGCTAATTTGTCCAACATGCTCCATTATTAGGTCGCTCTTAAAATGTCCTAAGGATCTTAGGCCTAATTCACCTCATTTGCACATTTTGTATTTATTCATACATCATTATGTAGTAAGATCATATGACCAGTAGAGGGCCTTTTGTTATTTAGCCTGTTTAGGCCAACAATCCTATACTGCTTTGGTTCTTCATGCGAGTCAGTCAAGAAGAGTTGTTAGGCTGGCTTTGACAGGCTCTGTATGGGCTGATGGGTCACTCAATACAGAGTCACTCAAACCTCTCTCAAACATTATTTATCTTATCCAGCTTCACTGTCCTCCCTTCCTTATAGTCTTTACTGTGGGGAGATGGTAGTTAGCGTTGCCTATTATCTTGACTTAGAAAGATCCATGCACAATTTTATAACTAGTGGAAGTACTAACTAATGTTAGTTTTAGGCAGCTAATGGCTCTTAAAATTGCTGTTAGGTGCTCTTAGCATTTCTGAAATTATAAGGTCTGAAACATTTAGGAATATGTTTCTTCCATCATTCGTACAAATTAAACATTTTAACACATTCGATTAGTTAAGCTAATCAAACACAATGTAAGAAATAGTTCAAGTTTAATTAAGTCTAGTACATGCATAGTTCCATGTCTTACACCTTCATGTGTTACTTACACTGTATGTAGGCCCAGAGGCTGTACTAGGTCAGGGCAGCAGACAGACATGCTTTGCCTTGGGGTGAAGAAGGGTCACCTGCTCTGAATCCGTTTGTTTTAACTGTGTTTTTCTTCTAGGAATTTGCTCTCTCTCATCCACCGAATGATCGAGTTTGTGGTGCGTGAGGGCCCCATGTTCGAAGCCATGATCATGAATCGAGAGCTCAGCAACCCCATGTACAGGTACGTGTCTGTCTGTCGGTGCACGTGTTTGTGTGATCACTTTTTCAGTTGGTAATGTAATGTATTGTAGTACAACAGGTTGACTGTCATTATGTTGCCTCTGTTGGTCAGGTTTCTGTTTGAGAACCAGAGCCCAGCACACGTGTACTACCGCTGGAAACTCTACTCCATCCTACAGGTCAGTATGGACCAGTCATTGTCAGGCATCTTCTGCTGCATCATATTCTTAGACCAATTGCATCCTCCCTTTTTTTCCTTCTTCTTTACCACCTCTGTTATCTGTCCTCTCTCATGACTGGTTAGGTTGAACGCAGTATAGGTCAAACATGTCTGTCCTCTTTAAAGGAGGAAGAAGGGGGGGCTGTTGACATGCTACTATTTGATAGCCTGAACACATAACACTGTCCGTGTTAGAGAATAAGAAAGTTGTCTAATCTAATGTGAATGATGTCCAAACCTGTCCCCACAGGGAGAAGCACCAACAAAATGGCGGACGGAAGAATTCTGCATGTTCAAGAACGGCTCGATGTGGCGCCCTCCTCCCCTCAACCCCTACCTGCACGGCAACTTTGAGGAGGGGGAGGGGCCTGAGGAGGAAGAGGAGGAGCCTGGGAAGAAAGGCTGCTTAAAAGAAGAGTAGGTTACCTGTTTATAATTTCATTACCATACCGGTATTATCTTATGGTACTGTCACTCAAACGCTCAAGACCCTGCGATAGACTAGCATCCTGTCCAGAGGGTTGTATTTGTACATAGAGCTGCCTCACGCTACAGAAACAGATGGGCTCCTGTTGGGCCAGTCTGGCTCGGACAAGGCTACTAACTTTTACTTTTAACATTATCTATGCTGAACTCCTCTTCTTTCTTATCCCTCCCTCCCTCCAGAGAGCGTGATCAGCTGGAGGAGATGTTGAGGGCTCTGACTCCTAGGAAGGGGGACATAGCCGAAGCCATGCTGTTCTGTCTGATGCATGCCGAGGCTGCTGAGGAGATCGTAGAGTGCGTCACAGAGTCCCTCTCCATCCTGAAGACACCACTCCCCAAGAAGGTAAACTAAATGAAAACAAGTGCCATACTATGTTATATCGGGAACTTTCTTCTTCGATTTTGTATTGCATGTATATAGTGTAGATTTTGTGTGTTTTGTATGCTGACCTCACAAAATGAATTTCCATGTAAATGGACAAGAACATTTATTTACTCAGTCACAACCTTAACAAAAACTGCTACTTATGTTTTGCCGTCCCTCGAGTTTGTTGCTTTTGTAGCTACAGTTTTGCCTTGTTATTTGGTTTGGAAAGAGGTTTGAGTGGCACGTGTAAAATAAATGAGTGTTATAATTATTCCGTTCTGTTAGGGAGGACTGGCCAGTTTGTCTAAATGTCTTATAATAATTCCTTCCTTGTTTTTCAGATTGCACGGTTATATCTTGTCTCTGATGTGCTGTACAACTCATCTGCTAAAGTAGCCAACGCATCTTACTACAGAAAATAGTAAGTAGTTGAGTTTGGGTTCAGGGGTTGTGATGGTTGCTTGTGACTGACTGACTGGGTGATGAGGACCCTGCTTGTTTATGGATTGCGTAACTTTGCAGTATACATTATTGGCATTATTAAAGATGTTTTCCTGCGTAAGTTAATGTTAAACTTGTCCCTGACACAGCTTTGAGACCAAGCTCTGCCAGGTCTTCTCTGACCTCAATGCAACGTACAAGACGATACAGGGTCACCTCCAGTCTGAGAACTTTAAGGTATGTTCCATTGTATATATTTTCAGATCAAAATTTGAATCATGTTACCTACACCTATCTTTAAGAACTGCACAATTCTTTCAGGGCCCCTATCCACAAAGCATCTCAGTCCTGATCTAGGATCTGTCCATACAATCGTAGTCATTATGGTCTAAAAGGAAAAACTGATTCTAAATCAGCACGCCTACTCTGAGATGCTTTGTGCCTAGGGTTTAGGTGCTAGGAATTGCTTCTGGACAGGTTATTACCGTTTCACCTATATAATGTTGTATATCCTCTTGGCCAACAGCAACGAGTGATGTCGTGTTTCCGTGCGTGGGAGGACTGGGCCGTGTACCCAGATCCCTTCCTCATCAAGCTGCAGAACATCTTCCTGGGTCTAGTCAACCTGGCAGCTGATAAGGAGACTCCCACTCCCATCACAGTAGAGGTCAGCTAGCATACTCTTCTTTTCTGTTCTTTCTCCTGATGCTGCTACCTAATGCTTTCTAACCTTGTTGTTAGACGAGTTGAAATTGTGTGATGGTTTGTAAATGGTGTGTGATGGTTGGAGAATGTTTTCATCATTTGAAAATGTGTGGTGGATTGAAAATGTTGTCTGAAGGTGTGAGAATGTTATGATTTGATCATGTTGACAAAGTGTAACGTTGCCCACGCAGCACTACTGCGCTAATAACTGTTAGAAGCTTATTTTGTAAATATATTCGTAAACCACTCCACTTCTCCTTCCAACAGAAACCATCAGTTGAACACCCTGGTCTACTGGCCCAGCCTGAGCCAGCGGAGGACATTGACGGGGCCCCCATCGGGGAGGATATGGACGGGGCCTCTCTGGAGGACGTGGATGGGGTCCCTATAGGGCTGGATGGAGGGACCATGGTGGACGGAGCCCCCCTAGGCGGAGCCCCCCTTGACGGAGCCCCGCTGGGGATGGATGATCTGGATGGAGTGCCCATCAAGGCCCTGGAGGAGGACATAGACGGAGTGCCCTGTGAGTGGCGTTATGACCTCTATACTACCACATCCACATAGGGATTATTAAGGGATACTTCTTTCCCCAAAGAACACAATTACATATTTGTTTCCTTACCTTGTCAGCAGTCTATGAACTAACCCTGACCTCGGGACTGGAGGCCATTTTTCTAACCTTGTTCTCCTTGTCTTTTAGTGGATCATGCTGCGGCCAAAGCAGCATCCTTTAAAGTAGCACCTTCAAAATGGGAAGCAGTGGACGAGTCTGAGCTAGAAGCACAGGGTGAGTGAGACCACAACTACAGGCTACTTTCTACCAAGCTATGATTCCACTTCAAAGTGTCCTAATCATGTTTCTATGGCAACTTTCTACCAAGCTATGATTCCACTTCAAAGTGTCCTAATCATGTTTCTATGGCAACTTTCTACCAAGCTATGATTCCACTTCAAAGTGTCCTAATCATGTTTCTATGGCTAGTTTCTACCAAGCTATGATTCTGTCCTACTTCTCTATCTGTCTCCTCCTCAGCCGTGACCACCTCTAAATGGGAGATCTTTGAGCAGCCAGAGGAGAAGAAGGACGAGGGTGACAGTGATGATGAGGATACCAAGAGTTCCCGGTCAGAAGAGCCTCAGAGTTACCCCAACCCCATCAGAGACGACTTAGACTCCAAGACCAAGCACTCTGAGATGAATGAAGACAGACGCACCAAGCTCCGGGAGATAGAGGTAAACTAGTCAGCATTTTACTGGAATCACAGAGTACACAACAGGTTATTTAGATAGCTGAAAATAAACAACCACAGCTCTGAGTTGTTTGTATATTTGTATTTTTAATTTCTTTGGGCTAAATTGATTCAAAGAAGTTTGGTTTCCTTCACTTGTTCAATGGCCACACCCTGAAAGTTGACCCTGTTGTATTTATATCTAAATGTTAACATATTTGTTTTATTATATTGTTTGTTATTTTCTTCCAGGTCAAAGTGATGAAGTTCCAGGATGAGTTGGAGTCTGGGAAAAGGCCCAAGAAGCCTGGCCAGACTCTACAAGAGCATGTGGAACACTACAGAGACAAACTGTTACAGAAGGTATTACGTACTTACTAACCTCATCCTCTTGGTTCCTGTTCTATTGTTTCCCAATGTTATGGGGACCCTCTATTAGATTCATTAAGGTCATTGCTATTGACCTTTTATATCCAGCTATTACAGACGGTATGTGGCACCATGCCATCTGTTATCTGATGAAGTACTGTCATTGCTGTTTACCTCTATCTGAAGTATCCTCTTGAAAATGTTTCTAAGCTACGAACTTCAGTTTATATCAAGGTATTTGATATCCCTGGACTCCCTGGAAAACAGTGGCAGTTGTTAATGCGTGGACTATTCTAGCGAAATAATTAAAAAGGAAGTGAATTTGGATAATGTTGGTTTACATTCAATAATATAAAGTTGACACCTTGTCTCTTTGTTTTGCAGGAAAAAGAAAAGGAGAAAGTGGAAGGAGAGAAAGAGAGGGAGAAAAAGGACAAGGAGAAAAGCGAAGCTCGCTCTAAAGACATCAAGAAGGAGAAGGAGGAGTCTACTCCGACCAGGAAAGACAGGTTAGTCCCTCGTACATTGTGATGCATTCATTAGAGACATGATGACATTAGTGGCTGTATGTGGTTGGATAGCAGGGGGAAACTATGTGGTAGAGCTGTGTAATGGGTTCCTATTATAATCAGAATAGATCCTAGGAAATGACTTAAACAAAGGACCCAACTCATGATCAGGGTTAAAGTTCATTCAAATGCACCCTTGAAATACAGGGGCAGTTTAGGGTTCCTTGAAAAATAGATTCATATATCAATGGGATTCACCTAATAAAAACTAACTTATACCAAGTCGGTGTATGATCAGTGCTGACTAAAGAATCTTTCATCCGCCGATGTCGTCGTCTCTGACAGGCGTGGCATGTCTCCTGTGGTTGCTAGGAAACGGCGCCACAGTGGCTCGCCCTGCAGCCCCCCACGGAGCAGCAGTAGACGGGTGCGCTCCCCATCCCCCCGCTCGGAGAGGTCAGAACGCTCCGAGCGCCTCTACTCCAAGGACGTAGTGTCATCACGATCCCGCTCCTCCCACAAAGACTCCCCTCGAACCACCATCACCAAGAAGTCCTCCAAAAGGTACTAAATAATCTAATGTCTTTAAAACATTCTTCTAAAAGTACCACGTTTATCTTTATTGTACTTATCCTGGTCTTTCTGGCTCTACTGTTTTGAGAATAGTGTTGATCTTCTCTTGACATTGGAGAGGAAAATAAACTGTTAATTGTATTTGTATTTGATTGACATAGTCTTTGAGGTGGGCTAACTTCCAGTAACTTCCCCAAGACCATTGCAGCTTGGTTCTCCTGGTGGCCCTCTGACTGGACAGTCTGTTTGTTCTCTCCCCCAGGTCTCCCTCGTTACCCCGCACGCCCAAACGTTCCCGGAGGACACGCTCCAGAACACCCAAGAAATCTGCAAAGAAATCACGTTCAAAATCACGGTCCCCACACCGGTCCCACAAGAAATCAAAGAAGAGTAAACACTGACGAATCACCCACCCCTCGTTCTCCCCTCTCCATCCCTCTGCTGTGATGTATAAATAAAATAAAGAACTGGAGTGGCAGCTCAGCTCCCTGCCTGAATGTTCCTGTGAAGAAGAGGATGATTAACAGGAGAAATGGTCATGCACAGGTTGAGATTCAATGGATCGAGCAATGTTGCCATGTAGGGTCTAAATGGATCCAGCCGGGTTGCCATGTTGGGTCTAAATGGATCAAGCCGATGCTGTTTTATATTGTAAAAAAATTAAATAAGATAATGATCTGGATGTGTGTCCTGCCCACTCCCCCCACCGCCCAATGGGGTTCATCCTCGTGGTAGACCACACCTCCTGTACCAAGTGTGAAGATGACTAGTCTTATTACCATGCTGTAGTTTTCTTTTTTGTAGTTCACAATTAATTAAAAGGATTCATAATAATATAATATCTTGTTAAACTTTTTGCATTGTAAATCGAAAATGAAAGCTGAGGACAAGCACTGGAAGTTCTCCCCCTGCTGTTTCAGTCCATTTTCCTCCATTTGGTGCCTAATGAACGCAGCCCAGATTTGTTGAGCATTGGTATTTATTTAAAACACATGGCTGTAATGGTAGTGAGAGTCCTACGTTTTCACAGTTGTCAAGCTGTGGTGGAGACTGAGGGAAACGAGAGAACATTTGGGGCTCTGAACTGTACATGACAATACTGAAAATATAGAACCCCAACTGCTTCAAATGTGTCAGGGTGAGATCATCCTTTGTAGAAATAAAAGTATAATATGATGTGTGTTGTAACTTAGACTACACAAATCTTTAAAGCAATAACAACCATTTGAACATTTGAAATTATGATCACAGTGCATTGAGTTCACTCCCTGCTGGGTGTAGAGACCCTAGACCTGTCAGTGGTTAGACTATGGTGGACATATGGACACTCAATCACGTTGAACTCTGAGGGGTTAGATGTCTTGATAAGTTGCCATGGCCAACAAGTAAATTGTATAAATATTATCTACCCTGCTTAAACTTGAGCAAACAGGGATATTTGAGTATTGCTACAGTCACTAAAACATCTACTTTATATTATACTACATATCCACTAGATGGCGGTAAGAAGCTTTACGGTTCATACATCTAGAGACTTCTTAATATACTGTATTTTGTTATTCATCTGTATGTTTATCTTTAAAGTTTGCCTACATCAATGTTTCGAGCACAGATGGCAAGCCATCAATCCTCAGTCCCTCTGACGTGTTCCTGGGAAAGAATAGATGTATTAATGTGTTATAAAATGATCGCTTACACACACACTCTGGGGGTTCCTAACACTGTAATTCATCTTACATATCGCTCACTATTTGCAACGAGCCTCTGTGAGATAGAACAGTGGTCTTTGCCAGGATAGGATATGGGGTGTTTGCTGTGTAACCGTCCCACAGGGGGAGCCCCATGCTGAATGAATGATGTGCTGTCTGTTTCCCCTGGCCTCTATCTGGAATAGAGTCATTGCTTGTTTAGAGCCCAGCATCTGTCCTCACAGATCCTCAGTGGGGTTTAGACCAGGATACAATGGGAAACTGTCTCCATGATGTCGGATGTGTTGGGTCCCATCCATATATACAATACAGAGGGAGAGAGGAGAGTGTGTCCTGCTGAGACATTGGCCATTAATGCGGTCTTTTGACAGAAGGCTTGGACGAGTCTCCTCTCAGGAAGTGAGAATCAAAAGCACAGATGTGATGATCTATAGAGGATGGCCCCATAAAGACATGGGAAGAGACTGTGTGTGCTTGTCTGTGTGGCCCCTTGGATAAAAACATGGGGACAAATGACTGATTCATACAACTAATTGGTTTGGGAGGAATAGTAAACTACAAAGGAGACCATTTAAAGCATCTGGTGTCTTGAGGTTTATGGAAGTATATAGACCCCTTGGAAAAACAATTAGTTACTGTTATATTGATACCTTGTTATGATCTATAGATCCATAGGCTACACCCCTCAAACTCAACTCTGGACCTCGAAGCCTGTGCCACTGCATTTTTTCATTGTTCCCCTCTAGTCTGGGACTGATTTAGACCTGTGACACCAGGTGTGTGCAATGTATTATCAGGTAGAACAGAAAACCAGTAGGGTAAGAGTTGAGTATCCCTGGGCTAGACCATAAAGCACCTGATATAAGACACATTGATGGAGTTATCGTTATGTTCTTACTTATATAAGTAATAGGCTAGTTTGCATAAGTCACCTAACTTATTCCTATTTATAAAGAAGCTGTAAATACTGTACCTTGGCATCCATCTACCCCTCTCTCCCGCCTCTACGCATTCCCACTCTGATCGAAAGAACACGTGCGCTCAATGTAGATTCCAATAACAATTGAACGCAGAAACAAAACAAAGCGCAAAACTAATTTACCCAAGTAGCCTATCTTTATTTTCGCAAATTCCCCACTAGTGATAATGTGTATGTCTCAAGAATTAGTTCAGTTAAAACATAAAGCTCGACCTTGGAAGTTGGGATTTCTACAACAGCCCCTCTCCGTCTCGCGATCAGAGATCTAGTCGGCTCTGCTCCCAGTAAAGGCGGTTGAAGGTCTTTGACTAGTAGGCTATTATGCCGCGTTCACGTGCTATTGGAAACCGCGTTCACGTGCTTTTGGAAACTCGGAACCTTCGTGCTAAAATGAACGTAACTTATTTGGGTGGAGCTTCCTATTGGTTGGTTCTGATTACCTACTTCCCAAGTGGGAAACTCGAGAATGGGATCATTTTTCTACAACGAGTAAGCAAGTTGAACATTTCCTAGTTCCGACAATAATGTGAACGCGGCAGACCGGTGTCGTGGTTTCCCAATGCGCTGTTTACTGAACAGTGCGCCACGGTCTCGGTTTGGCCTCGCGACCTAGGGCTGTTTTGTAACTGCTTGGAGGTTTGCATACAAGGAGGAAAGTATGACATGATTTGCTGACAGTTTTTCGTAGTTCATTATAATACAACTTTTTATCGGTATGTTGGCTACAATAATCATCATGTTGACAGTTTAGAAGCTTGTCTACATGTGCGGGCGCAAGGTGAGTCTTCGTGGAACGGGGAAATCGAAGGCTGCGGCTATCCCGAGACAGTTGAAAACTCAATAGAATACTACAGGCGAGGAAAATGGATGATAACAACAATGACAACGCTCGCTGCAAGTCGTCTGAGGATAACCACGGTGACTCGCCAGCTGGTAGCGGGGCAGCAGGCGATGTTGGAACTGGAGGAGGTCTAGAAGAAGTACAGATGCATCTCACGTGCCTACCGGAGCGGTACATGATGGCCAAGTTCACTTTATCAGCCTATATGCTCTGCTGGGCGTCGCTGAAACTCTACCAGGTAAGATGGTCTCACTGAAGCATTCTAAATCACTATACAGTGTTGATGACCTATGCACTCTGTTGCCCTTTTAGTTTATGCAAATCAAATCATTTTGAAAGGATAGCATATATGGTCACGTTATTATTGCCCACACCCTCTGAATATTATACTGTACTTCAGAAATATATTGAGCCACTGGAATGAAATTATCCTAGTGTTTGCTTATACAAACCTCTTCAAAGTGTTATGCAAAATGTATCCTGTTTCATGTTCTCAAATATGTGGCACTGTATATTTTTCCTGGAGGCCTACGTTTGTACTGTTCAAACAGGTCCAATTGCCGTGTGAGAAAAGCCTGCTGGTGTATGGATACTTCCATTCACTATTCATACCAATAATGCTGAAGAAAAACAACAAGCCTATTCCTAAACCAGATATCAAGCTACAATCTTGCTCAAGAGTGTTAGAATCTCCTGCAAGTGATGTTGTCTTGTGTTTTCCATGAATTCTCACTCTTTTCTCTAAAGTGCCATGCATTCACACTCATAAAATGGGTCGCTATGGAAACTCCCTTTGGTTGGTTTTGCTGGGCTCCTGCATTCTGTTATTTTAACATGGGCCCCAATTATCAATGCATGGGATCGTTTCACCCTTAACCAAGCCAAGCCAACCCACTGAAACCCCCACACTTACCACAGTGAAGGGCAAGAGTATAAAATGTCAACATGTTTGGTTAGAGTTTATACATGGCACATTACAGTGTTATCTCTCTTAAATCTTAAAAGGTTGGTGAAAAGTAATTCAAAGTACCATTCCAGGCTGCCAAAAGATTTCAATAGAAACCAATTAAAACCAGAGGAGGAGCAACAGAGAGCTATATAAAATCCTGCTTTGACAAAGTTGTGATATATTGATAGTTGAGTCGTTGATTGATTAAGAGATACCTAATGTTCTAGTCTCTGTCATGTTTGCCCCATCACTGGATAGAGAGAGAATCCTATTTGTGTTGGCTGGAAGTGCAGTTGGATTACGGGGCTGCCAGAGCAGACAGCTGTGGAAGTGAACTAAAGTGTCTCATGTGGTTGGGTTCTCGGTCCTGCCCTGCCTGCCAACCCCCTCAGCTTAACTGGCTCTTTAGACAGGATACCAGTTGTCATGGTTGCAGTGCTAAGCAGCAGCATATAGGCCCTCTCAAGCACACAATCCCATTCACCCAGGGGTAAAGATATTAGGGTGCATTCGACGTGGCATCCTATTTCCCTACTTAGTGCACTACTTTTGAACCACAGAGTAATGTACTATATATGGAATAGGGTGCCATTTGGGAGTCAGACATAGAAAACACAACATAGAAAACACAACCCATATTAGATGCAGAGTTAACACACACCACGTTGATTAGATGCCATGTGTTGGACCCCTCCTCCCCACCCCCAGTAGATTACAGCTGTATTTTTAGTCATGCAGTAGCTAGGTTCATCCAAATAAAGTCAAATGTTTCCATAAATGTAATCATGGTTGGGTGTTATGGAAAAGTATGATGCTTCTAACTATTTTCCATTTTGCTCTGTTTTGATGTCTGTGTGTGTTTGTCAGTGTTATCAGTATGACAATAGGGATATGTACTTACTGTATAGGTTGTTTCCCAAATGACACCCTATTCCCTATAAAGTGCACTACTTCTGGCCAGAGCCCCATGGACCTGGTCAAAAGTAATGCAATATAAAGGGAATACGTTGCCATTTGGGACGCATCCATAATGTTGGTCTGGAACATCCATTTCCTCTGTTTTCCCCTATAATAAACTGTCATTTGAAGATTGCAGGGACAGGGAGTGGCCTGGATCTAGTTTGTCAGGTTCTTGACATTTGCATCGGTCCATTACCCCTCTCAAATACTCTCACAGTGACTCCTAGTTTATTAAAACGTTGTCAGCAGCCTTCACCTTCTGACTTTTGCTGTGTGATCAGCCCTGTAATGGTTACTAACGTGTATCAGAGAGGAATGCTATGGAAATGAGTCTAACAGATCCACTGCACATCAGGTTGACACAGCAGTTAGTGTTATAATAACACATGACAATCAAAGGGTGGTCAGTGTCAGGAAGTGATGGGGGCCTGTTCACTTCTCTCCCTTGGGTGTAACTAACGTCACTGTGGCTTCGCCCACAGATTCCCCCTGTATAGCACTGACTGTATGTCAGGGCAAGTAAAGTCTTGTCCCAGAGGTCTCCCTAGGGCTCCCGCTACCATTCCTCACGGTGCAAGGAGTAACCACGGACACCAAGCCCAGCCAAACACACCACACCACACCACACCACACACACACACACACACACACACACACACACACACACACACACACACACACACACACACACACACACAAAGCCCAGCCCCAGAGCCAGTCTCATCTCAACTCATGCACAGATTCAGCTTTTCTTATCACATCAAACTCCTTAGTTAACTTTGAACTGGCTCCTCCCTGAATACCTAAGGTTATTATGGCTATGAGATATGAGATATGGTAATCGGGCAGGTGTGCACTGCACATCGCTTAATTCACTGGTATGATCTGTCAATATCAAAGGTACAGTACCAGTCAAAAGTTTGGACACACCTACTCATTCTAGGGTTAACCAGCATGGCTACCACAGCATTCTGCAGCGATACGCCATCCCATCTGGTTTACACTTAGTGGGACTATTGTTTGTTTTTCAACAGGACAATGACCCAAAAACACACTTCCAGGCTG